TGGAAGGGTATCATCCGGTTTATATCGAGGGGAAAGCTTAACCCCAGATACATTGGTCCATTCGAAATCCTTGAAAGGATAGGGGCTGTGGCATACCGTCTCAAGTTGACGCCGGAACTTGAGAAGATACACGACGTGTTTCATGTATCGATGCTCAAGAAATACGTGAGGGATCCGTCTCATATTCTTGAAAAGCCACCGGTGGAGATACGTGAAGATCTACAATATGCGGTGGAACCGGTAAAGATTGTGGGTCAACAGGTGAAGAAACTGAGGAACAAGGAGATTCCGATGGTAAAGGTACTTTGGAGGAGTGATCGAGTCGAAGAAGAAACCTGGGAGACTGAGGTCTCAATGAGGGAACAATACCCGTTTCTTTTCGATTAGACACGCGGATTTCGGGGACGAAATCCCAATTAAGGGGGGGTGAACTTGTAACACCGTCCCCAAAAAGTAATTACTTTTAAGTGAATAATGTATTGAACTTATGGAATGGTTAACGAGTATTCGAAGTTGTGAATTTTTATTGATGTTTTTGCGTGAATAGTAAATTCGCACGTGGGGCCCGCACCGGGAGCGGGGGCCGCCCGATATTCCCGAGACCGTATATTTTATTCATCTTGGTCAATATAATATTTATATAATGGTGGATAATTTATTTGGTCCAAAGAAATGATATAGAGTTGACCGGTTGATCAAAAAGGCCAAAATACCGGTATCGGTAATTTAACAGATAACAGCCCGAAACGAATTTCGGAGGCTTATAAATTAAAGTTGGGGAATGTATATTCATTATAAGGGTCATAATGATTGGAAACACTTGATATATTTTATTTCACCCGATGAGATAAAATATATTTTTAACTGTCCGAAAAATACAACTTTCGGGACCGATTGTACACATCGGGACACAAAGGGATGACCTCCCACATGAGTGGGGGCCACCCCACGTTTTTGGGTGCTGAGATTGTCAAATGAGAGCTGTAAATTATAGGAAAGGGGCTGAGGGTGATGTATTGGGTAGGAAAGGACCAAATGTGGACCTCCACCCCACTCATTTGTCTAATTGAGACAAAAACCATCTCCCCACCTCACCATCAGCATCCACTCGAACCAACACCCAATAGTAGCAAGGAGAAGCTCTGAAATTCACCATTTCTTCACCCAAATTCGAGCTCAAGCTATAGTGGTCCAAAGAGGAGGATTAAAGAGGGAAAAAGTTGGAAAAAAGTGAGAAAGATTAAGGTAATGACCTTATACTAACTTTCCCTTTATTTTTCTTCTATCATTTGAGATATATGTCATATGAAGAACTCTTAGGAGTGTTCTACATGTTATAAGTGTGGAATAATGGGTTGGAAGGTGGCTCTATGTCCAAAAACGGACATAGAAGCCAAAACGACCGGTTTACCGGAAAATAACCTTTTAGAGGTTATTTTTATTGATTAAGGTTTTATGATGTTAAAACCTTGTTAGGAACTTGATTTAGAGTATCTTTGAGCTTCGCCGGAGTTTCGCCGGAGTTGGTCAAAGTTGGCCGGAGTTGGTCAAAGTTCGCCAAAGTTCAATCGGGAAACGTAGATCGCGCCTAAGCTCACTTAAGGTGAGGATGACCGACTATATTGCTTATAATCTTTGGGTTAATTTCATAAGATTTCCTAAATGAATACACAATGTGATTTGCATGGATTGTTAATGGTTATTAATGCCTAAATGAAATTACTATTGATTATAAGTATAGTTTGCATAATATACAAATTTATTGAATAAATTGTGTATGTTTATATGTTATGAATATGATGGCATGATAGTAGTATCAACCATAAATTTCATTTGTGATAAGTATGATTTTAATTCATGAGAAGAAGCCATGAAAGAATAAAAGTGATATTTTGATATTAAGGTCAAACTACATATTGAATGAAGAATTACATTGAAATGAGTAAATAACTAGTATTGAAATATTAGTTGGAATTGTAGTTGAATAATGGATGAATGGATCCTAAGAAATTTAATTGTAAAGAATCGGTGATTATTGAGCTGGGCTCTAGACCGATGTAGATAACGGTGATTATTGAGCTGGGCTCTCGACCGTAATAGTTATCGGTGATTATTGAGCTGGGCTCTAGACCGATGTAGATAACGGTGATTATTGAGCTGGGCTCTAGACCGTAGTAGTTATCGGTGATTATTGAGCTGGGCTCTAGACCGATGTAGATGAGGGTGATTATTGAGCTGGGCTCTAGACCGTAGTAGGTAACGGTGATTATTGAGCTGGGCTCTAGACCGTGGTAAGAAATGATGAAATGACACTAAACGAACAAAGTTAATCATGAGATAATAACACCCTAGATTGAGGGTCTTGGAAATTGAAACATTGATTATACTTAGTATAGTTGTCATTGTACTTGTCAAATGCTTCCAAGTACTGACCTCCCCTTCACGGGGGAGGCCACCTCACAGTTTCAGGTAGGAGCCGAGCTTGCTACCAGTGCCCGTTGCTCCGGGTGAATTCAAGGAAGGAAGACGTGGTTCGTGCTTCCTCCGTTCCTGTTTTAAAAACATTTAAATTAATGCTCATGGATATTACATTTTGAATAATCATTTGGGGCTTGTATGCCCATGTTTGCCAAAGTGTGGCACGAACACTTGTATTAAATGCTTCCGCTACTTTGAATGAATATTTTACATTATGTTTGTTTATGGATGTACTATGTGTGAATGATATCCCAGACGCCTTGTATAGTATGAATGTGTTGGACTGCGGTTGACTATTCGTACTGTACGGCGGATTGTCGACGTGTCCGGATAGGTCCGGGGCGTGACAAATCTCTTAGCGAACGATTAAGTGTGTGTGAATGTGTCCTAGAACAAATTAGACCTCTCTTAACTTATTCTACAAGCAATTGTAATTCTAGTCGCGATTCTAGGTTACAAAAGATATCAGTTAAATTATTCAAACACAAATTAAACGACATTCATGCAATTAATCCATCAAGAAACTACCCATACATCATGATCAATCCCTTCATCAATCCCAAATACCTAATTAAAAATACTCAGAATTCATAATTGAAGAATCAATAGAATTGGGAAAGAATCAATATAATCCATAATATCACACTTTTCAGTTTTCACATATCTGCACCCCCCTGTTTTGCATGTCTACACAAGCAATTAATCTAAAAATGCAATTCGTATAAACATGAGGTCACCCTGTAACGTAGTCACTACAAATAACTTGCCTTCAGTTAATATACCTATCCGTTGGAAATGGAAAAAATATTTTGCCAAATTCATTTGTTAGAAAGAAGAATTTTATTAAGGATTAGTGCGAGACAAAAGGTGTTAGCATGCCATTCTGATTACGTATACGATAATACCCAAACATAACTTATAACATGATGACTACAAATAAAGGTCAAAGACAGTCATTGCCGTGTATTGGTTTGTTGTTGAAAAATCAATTTTTTGTCATGGTCAGCTTTACATGATTGTGTCAAGAGTAACCAATCACCAAGCGTTAAATCACATTGCAAACGATAACAAAGGAACGAACATTGAAATCGAAAATGTTATGTGTAAAGAAGTGTTCATTTCATTTAGCATGGAACATAACCATTAGTATATCATATTGAATCTGCTTCATTTTACTGCAAATTTCAATGTTGTGCAGAGTACTATTCTAAACTATTCAATTATAATTACAAATTTGTATAATTATTTATAAACTATAAAGAAAAAAATTCACCAACCGTGCATCGCACGGGTACTATTTCTAAAAAAAATGAGTATTGTTTAATAATGCCATAACACACTTTCACATATTTGCACACCCCCTGATTTGCCAATTTACCCGGGCAATTCGTACAAAATATGCAATTCGTATAAATGCATTGTCACCATATTACTTGAGATGTTTATACTTACACTTATTTCAGTCCCAGACCAAACCAAACTTAAACAAACCGGATCAGACCATACTTGGATATTAGACATCCAAGATCATCAAAATTACTCCCAAATTAAATCATAGCAAATATGACATCCCACAATCCATTTTCCCACAAATTTAGATCCAAGTAAAATTCAAGAATGACATAACACACTTTTACATATTTTACTCTCTTCTTTTGCCTATTTAGAGAGACAATTCGTCTAAGAATGCAATTCGTGTAAATTTATAGTCACCTTATACTTCGTCATTTTAAATAACTTACCTTCAATTAACTTATATAAACCTTTGAAAATGAAAAAAATGGCAAAATCATTTGCGCATCACAAGGTGAATTACTAGCAAAACATTTTACTAAAAGAAGTGAATTTGACATAAGTTTGTGCGAGCTAAATGTGTTTATTTCTAAGCACTCCTATTAACAACTTCTAATGTTAACCGTGTGATGCACGATTACTCGATGAGATACAGATGTACTATGACTGTAGATACATTTCTGCGGGCGAGGCTGCTTGGCGCATATTTGGGTTTGAAATTCAATATAAGACTCCGACAGTTGAACCTTTGAGCTCCAATTTGTCGGAAGAACAAAGTGTTGTCTTTCGCGATGATCTGCCTTTGGACTCAGCGGTTCAGGCATGTTGTTAAGGACAGTATGTTCACAGCATAGATGAAGGCCAATAAGAAGTACCGAGAAGTAATGCTTTAGTATTGTGATTTCAATGCATATTTACAATGTTATATTTTCAACGTATTTGTTGGATGTTTTTTTTATCTTCTAAGTAATGCTTAATAATATCATTTTGACCATAATATTATAAGTGTTTCGATTAATGCTTTGATGTATATGAGTGTTACATGAAGATAGATGATTTTATCAATTAATATTATGATTTGAATTATTAAGCACACATAAATTTGAAAGAAAAATTCTCAAACCGTACATCCCACGGGTGAGTTTACTAGTTGAGTTAGAAAGACTCATTTCCATCTTCATCATGATTGAGGGCCCGGCGGTAGTCATTCACTCTTTCCACCACTTTGAATTTGAAAATTCAAATCTCCATCGCCGCCATAAACCCTCCCCAAACGGTCGAATTTTGAATTCCTTAAACTAGCACACTCTCTCTCCTCCCAACTCTCTCTCTCACACTCTAAGCTTTGTGTTTGAAACCCGTATCCAAGATTGAACGAAAGTCTCCATTATTGATTTCTACATCTTTGAGGTACACTGCCCGATCATGTACTGATTCTCTTCATTGTCTTTGTAGATTTGAAGCAAAACCTGAAGTTCTTGTTGGTCTGAGAGCTCTGTTTAATTTTATATCTTGGTGTTAATTATTTTGTAATCTTTGCATTCGCATTGCGAATCCATTCGGATTTGATACAGCTTCACCTGAGGTGCTTAAAGTTTCAATTTTAAAATGAGCGTTGGGTCTTGTTCGGATAGAGCTGGTTTTTGTTACTTGAAATTGAACGTGCGTTTTCATAACATAGATTGAGAACAGAATTCATAAGAGCTGTCCGCTAAAACTAACCCTAAACTGCTGGAAATTCTCTAGGGTTTTGTCTGTCAAAAATTTGCTATCCGATCAGGTGATAATAAGTGTTAAGTTGGAAATTAGTAAGCTTCTGGTAATTCCACCATACATCTTACACCAACAGTCCGGCTCACTCTGTAGAGACTGGGAGTTACTCTTCCCTCAACAGCACCACATAATGATTTAATATGCTATGTTGTTAACCCAAAAGTAAAGTTTAACTTGATTATGATTGTGATCAGATCTCGAGTTTTAGAGCATGTCTACCTCCCAAAGGGATCCACTTTCGCAAGTGGAAACGACATGTGGTACACTTCTGTATGAATTGCAGGTAAGCCTAAATTGACTATCACAATTAAGGGTATTGCTTTTTCCATACCTTGCCTCGGTGAAGAACTCACTGCAGGGGCGGATCCAGGATTCTTAGATGTCCTGGGCTGAATGAGAATTATACTAGGCTTAAATATTAGAGGGGTAGACTAAATGTGAAAAATGAAAAAATTTACACTAAAAAAATTTAAAAAGTTCTCAGTTACCCTGGGCTTCAGCCTACCATAGCCCGTACATAGATCCTCCCCTGACTCACTGCTTTTCACTTTCCCCTTAGATAATATGGGATGAAGTGGGGGAATCCGACTCTGAAAGAGACAGAATGTTGCTTGAGCTTGAACAAGAGTGCCTTGAAGTTTACCGGAGAAAAGTAGACACAGCAAACAAGTGCAGAGCTCAGCTAAGGCAGGCAATTGCAGATTCTGAAGCGGATCTTGCAGCTATATGCTCAGCTATGGGGGAACGACCAGTGTATATCCGACAGCAGGTGAGCCGCACAACTATGAACTAATTACCTAATTAGATGGACATGGCTGAGAACTTTTCAGTTAGGACATTAGGCTATGTTTTCATCTAGGAATATGCTAGGGTAAGGAAAGAAGCCTCTAAGAAAAGTTATTTTCCTACGTAGTATATATCATTTACCTGGGAAAATGAAAAGGAAAATGGATTATTTACAATATTTCTTTTCCTACATATGTTTACACGCTTTAGGAAATGGTCTTTTTGCATATTTTTTTTAAAATGCTTGCATATTTTTTTACTTATAAAATAAACATGAATTAATTGAGTTTAAACCAATATTTTATTTTCCTCAATGTTTTCTTTCCTTTCAAATTTCATCTATAATTTTCTCCCTATATCTTCTTTCCCTTGCATTGTCCAAGTTCCAAATAGACCCTTAGTTTCTCAAGTTCTCTGCGCATTAAGCATATGTAGCAAGCTGATTTAAGTAGGGAAAAATACACACTAAAAGAGAGAGAAATTCTCAAAATATGACTTAATAACTTATTTATGTTTCCTATGACTACAAACCCATGTGTGCGCCATTCTCTAGTCGTGCTTATCATCATATACGGGTAAATGACTTCCTATATTTAAGCTAATTAATTGGGAGTACGGTGGATGAGAAAAAAATGGATGACCATACATAGATTTACCTTCATATATTGGGAAAATAACTAATAAAGTCATAGATGGGGAAACTCATATTCTTTTAGTCACATGGGATATAAATTTCTCATCTAAGTAGAACTTTTTAGAAATGTGTTATTGAATTCTTATTTGAATTCTTATTGAATTTTTAGAGATTTTTTAACATAGCCTCAAGGTGTTGACAGGCTTTTAATTTCTTACTATGTTCATCTAACATTCAGTCTGAGCAAAACTTGAGGGGCTTAAAGGCAGAACTCAGAGCAATTCTCCCAGAAATAGAGGAGATGAGGAAAAGAAAGTATGAAAGAAAGAAACAATTTATTGAAACGTTGGAGCAGATTCAGAAGATAAAAAACGAGATTAATAGTTTTACTTCCCTTTCTACCTGCATAGCAGTGGATGAAAGTGATTTATCTTTAAGAAAGCTCGAAGAATTGCAAAGAGAACTTCAAGCTCTTCAGAAAGAAAAGGTTTACTTTCCTTCTGCATAATCTGAGATACACTCTTTCTTCAAAGTCCATTTTCAATAACATGTGGTGAGATTATCTTGTCTGCAGAGTGAACGACTTAAGCAAATAATGGACCATCTAAGTACTTTGAATTCTCTATGCTTGGTGCTTGGTATGGATTTCAAGCATACCGTCAATGAGGTCCATCCAAGTCTTGGAGAATCTGAAGGAGCAAAGAACATTAGCAATGACACCATACGAGCTTTAGTTGTAGAAATCCAGAGATTGCGTGAAGTTAAAATACAAAGGATGCAACAGGTATATATGGAGTTTACTTTTTCCCCAGATACTTTAGCTTGTTTTTTGCCTGAAGACATGGTTAAACTTTGAATCGTCATAGCTACAAGATCTTGCAACTTCATTGTTGGAGTTGTGGAATTTGATGGACACACCAGTTGAAGAGCAACAAATATTTCAAAATGTTACGTGTAAGATTGCTGCCTCAGAAATTGAGATAACCGAGCCAAATATGCTCTCTTTGGAATCCATTGATTATGTGAGTTATATACATGCATATATATATATATATGTGTGTGTGTGTGTGCGTGTGTGTTTGTGTATTTCAAAACAGATATTTTCCATCTACTGCTTCGACTGCTTTACTTTTTTTTTTCCTTTTTTGCTTTTATGAGTCACTTTGCATTGACATAATTTTCTTTTATGATTAAGGTTGCTAAAGAAGTATCACGTTTGGAAGATTTTAAAGCAAGCAAAATGAAGGAGCTTGTTTTAAGAAAGAGATCAGAGCTCGAAGAGATCTGTCGGAAAACCCATATGCTCCCAAATTCAGATATTTCTTTGAGTATTATTATTGAAGCCATTGAGTCAGGTACTCAAAATCTTAACTTACAAGAAACAAGATAAATGTACTTCAAGAAGAGATGAATGCTATTTTTTATTCCTTAACTTTTTTTCTTTTGAAAAAGGAGCTGTTGATGCCACTAGTGTGCTTGAGCAGATTGAGCTTCAGATAGCTCAAGCGAAGGAAGAAGCTTTCAGCAGGAAGGAAATACTTGACAAGGTTGAAAAGTGGATGACTGCCTGTGAGGAGGAGTGCTGGCTTGAGGAGTATAACAGGGTTGGTTTCTTAGTTAACTTGTAATAATTTGTCTATTTGGTTGTACATATAAATGCTACCCCAACACTTTTATTCATGAACAGGATGAAAATCGCTACAATGCTGGCCGAGGTGCCCATCTTACCCTGAAGCGCGCTGAGAAAGCCCGTGCCTTGGTTAATAAACTTCCTGGTAAATACTTTTCTTTTGCAGTATTTGTGTAGAACAAACGTAAAATTGCACTTCCCAGTTTGTCTGTTTTCAATATTGAGAAAGAAAAGTTAGTATGGTTTATTTAAAAGTGTTCTATTGCATAATGACTATGCTGTTAACATGATTACTGTGTTATTGATATAGCAATGGTCGAGGGACTGGCATCCAAAATCAAGTCATGGGAAAATGAGAGGGGAATTGACTTTCTTTATGATGGGGTATGATAGACCACCTCATTGCTGCAAATTCAATGAAGTTAAATTGATGCCTGAATGTGGTTTAATTTTTCTGATTATAGATTAGCCTTCTTTCCATGCTTGAAGAGTATCACATTCTGCGGCAAGAAAAAGACCAAGAACGCAAAAGGCAGAGGGTATGGCTACTTGATCTAGTATCTATGTGCATCTTTTCTTGATGAAAGCCATTAACCTGTTCACAAGAAACTGCTTTTAATGACCTCAGGATCAGAAGAAACTTCAGGGGCAGCTGATAGCAGAACACGAGGCTCTTTATGGATCAAAACCTAGTCCAATGAAGAACCAAAGCAAGAAAGGTTCTCGGCTGTCCTGTGGTGCCGTAAGTAACAGAAGGATGTCTGTTGGAGGCATGCAGACTCCCAAACCTGAAATACTACATCCCTCAAAAGCAACTCCTAATACGCGCCATGCCAAGAAGGCTGAGCATGTACTTCAGTATGACCAATCAAACCTTTCTACAGCTGATGATGGGTTTTCATCTTTATCCACAGGTTTTAGTGTCCCTTCCTTTATTTAAAGTGATGTTTATCTCGATTGTCTTGTATATATTATTGCCATTGCAGATTTGACACTTGTGTTACTCTGCTTTCACATCTCTTAGGAGAGTTTTTCCCACTTTTTAATCCTTTGGCTACTATGCTAATGACAGTCTTTTAGTTTTTACAATTTTAGTCCTTGGATTGTTCCGATGAAGACTCATTTGGTGCCCCATCTTTGATTGTTTTCACATTTAGTCTTTTTATTATTGTTGTAGTGCAGCATATTGATCCTCCAATTATTGTGATAGTAGTGACACTTTTGGGATTTGCCTTTGAACTTATGGCAAAAGTCGGAGGACCAAAAGTGTATTATGACATACTAAAAGTGTCATTATCACAATTAGTGATTGGAATGTGGAAAAATTCAAAGGCGGTGCCACGTGTCCAAGGACAAAGTAAAAAAGTTAAAGATGGTGTGAAGAGTGTCATTAACAACATTTCATATGTTTTTTGTCAAACACCTTGGCCAATCAATCAATCATAAGCATTATCATCTATGTATAGGTTCAGCACCCTGTGCTTATAAATTGAGTGTTGCACTTTTGACTCTTAGGTCGCAGAGGTTTGGACATAGCTGGTCTTCCCATGGTGCGAAATCCTTTCTCACCAATTTCTTCAACAGATTCCTCTAGGTCCAACATTTTGGAAGAACTCGACAGGAAACACAATGTGATGATTCAGAAAACAATATTTACCACACCCGTCAAGACAATTCCCCACGTCGAAGATGAGAACAGAACTCCCATCCCTTCAACGCCATCAACAGTGTGTATTCCCATGCAGACAGCTTTGACACCGGTCCCTCATATATATGGGAAGGGAGTGGAAGAAATTGAATACTCCTTTGAAGAGAGAAGGGCTGGATTTTTTCTTCCAATACTGTCTTGATTCATAGGGTCTTTTTTCCTGATTTTAATTTCTACTACGTAGCACTTTTTTTTTTGCAATGTTTAGTCACTAAATGCCAATTGTATTGGCGGCATCTTCACATTTGTCTCTGAAAAATTGTGTGCTTTGTGCTTCAACATCATTATGCTTTGAAGCACTTCATCCAGCCAGCAGCATGGGGGAAGACTGAGGAGCAGGAAAAATATCAAACACTTAATTTATTTTTCTATTTTTTACTGTAGGGGGCGTCTGGGCGAGGGGGCTTGGAGGGCCTGGAGGCTGGAGTAATCAGGGCTGAAACTCACTCCATTCAGTCTCGAACCCGAGACCTCCCATAAGGGAGAGTGAGTCGGCGACCAGTTAGGTTGTACTGCTTCCTCCAAAATTTCCATCTATCTCAAAGCATTTCATCGCTTTCCTTTTCTTTTTCTTTTATGCTTAAAACGAATTAAATGATCAGCTGACTCCTCCACAGCTTCACAAATCTGACATTTAGTCTCCACATTCACCTTGCGTCTTGTTAGGTTAACAAGATTTAGTAGAACCCCCATCGTAAGTTGGCAAAAGAAAAACTTTCCTTTGGGGAAACAAGCACCGCATTCAACATAGACGGGTCCAGCCCCACCATCCATCTGGATTTTCCTCCCCAACTAACCGCCTATAGCAACTTTTAACAGTGTATCTCCCCCTAGCATCATTAGCCCACCAGAAATCATTGTTAATAGCAATGATAGTTAATGGGTTTTTCCCAAAGGGATGTACTTTCTATTTCTCAAAATATGATACTTTCAAACTTATTTTCCCAAATAGGGGTATTTTTTTGCAATCACCGTGCCACGTCAGCACTCCAATTAAATTCGATTTCCATGTCATTTTAGTTGCCACGTCATATGTCTATGTCATCATATGTACATATCTTTTCGAAATAAAAAAGATGAGGCTAATACGGTTTGAACCCATGCAATGACGCTTATTATTCCGTATCAGCGTATCCAACACCACTGCACCACACTTATTAGTTGCATTATACCCACGCCATGTTTAATTAAAATTCAAAATTAAACACTCCTCTTCCTACTCCTCATGATCCTCGTCATTCATCATCATCATCATCATCATTATAATTAGTTTTATCATTATTATTATTATTATTGTTACTATTATTATTATTATTATTATTATTATTATTATCATTATTGTTATTATTACTATTATTATTATTATCATTGTCATTGTCATTGTTATTGTCATTGTCATTGTCATTGTCATTGTCATTGTCATTGTCATTGTCATTGTCATTGTCATTATCATTATCATTATCATTATCATTATCATGAGTATGACAAAACATTTTTGTTTAAAAAAAACTAACACTACTACACAAACAAGGGAAATGCAAAAAAATGATATTTGTGAACTTTATAAAACAAGACCGATTCCCCGGCAACAGCGCCAAAAACTTGACCGGTTTGAACTTGCAAGTGTACAAGTGCCGATATAGTAATAAATTCCGGTAAAATACCGGGTCGAATCCACAGGGAAACGTTGTTTAATTCAAGTCCGAAAGTAGATAACTTTGAATAAATAAATGAGTAAAGTGCAGGGATTTTGAGTTGTGTTTTATATTTTTGGCTTTTCACTTTTAATTCAAGGAAATAACCTTGATTAATTCGGATTTAAGATGAATGATAACAACGGGTAAGGCTTCGGGAATCACTTAAATGCTTTAATAGGGTTGAATATTAGTTCTTTACCAATAATTATGAATACGATGTCACTAATATATTCTCAACTCCGGTTAAGGCAGCGAGAGTGTGGTTTGCGTTACGTGTAAGTCCCGTTACGGCTTACATTCATCTACCGAAAACCCCGTTGAATATCAAGACATCACACCCGTATCATATAATACCAGATATATTTCTATTCTCGGTAATATATATGTTTATCCTTTAATGTTCATAGTTTAGACTTCAACGTTAATTGCAAGCATAAACTAAATTTAACATAATTCTATGTTGTACACCATAGTCATAAACAATCAAAATGTAAAGGATAAATCACAATTTATTGGTTTAGAATTTTATCAAACACCTAATGGGCATAGAAGTTCATCCCTAGCCTTAGCTAAGAACTTAGCCTCTAATGCTCATATTAATTACAAAAGTGTAACTAAGAACAATGAAATACAATAACATACAAGAAATAATACCTAGAACCAATTGTAGATGACAGAAATGGCTTCTTCTCCAACACTTCAAGAAAATGCAAAAAGGAAATATAAAAACTGAAATTTAATCTTCAAGAATGGAATGATGATCTTGTTTGATGAATTGAGCGCTTTATATAGGCTAAAAATTGGCATCTTTTAGTCTATTCAAGCCCAACAATCAGGCATGGAAGATATATTTGATTAGATCATAAGGAAAGTGGAGTTTTCCCATCAAAATATGGCTGCACGTCTTTGTGTTTTATGCAGATTCGGGCTTAACCGGCGCTGGTTTTAGGCTTTACCGGCGCCGGTTTTACTTCGGGGCTGGAATAATACTGAAAAACACCCTAACCGGCGCCGGTTATAGGGTAAAACCGGCGCCGGTTATACTTCGGCTGACCGGGAAAATGGCAGATTAAATGCAACCGGCGCCGGTTTGTTGAAATTCCGGCACCGGTTTTGTCCTGGGATTTTGGGGATGTTCTGCTACGAATTTGGACATAATTCCTTCACCAAAGTTGTAGATAATGAAGTCTTTTATCCACCAAAACTTGAATGACATGATTTTATTCAGCCAATCAAAAGATATGGGTAAAACACTGAGAGGTATGCATCCTGAAATCCCACCAGCAACATCTGACTTTGTTGGTTGATTGAGTCTTGCTCCTTTCATATTTTGGCCATGACGTCTTCATAACATTTGTACCTTATTGAGTTAGCATTCACATGAAACTCGAATCGAGTGATTGCGAGCTCTATAGAATAAGTTATACTCAAATTATGGGCAGAACGTCATTCTCTTGGTCCAAAAAGTCGTTCATCGCAATGTTTTATGCTCTAACTCTCATTCTGGAGGTATTTGCCCGGTTTCTCTTCTTTTCTTCAACAAACACTTATAAATATTTATGTTAAACACAAGTAAATATAACGGCTATGAGTATCTTTTCAAAGCACTGCACGTTTCATGGATAATATCACAGAAGAATTGGGGTGCATCGGTCCATGGAAGAAGACGAAATGTGTAAATCTTGTGAGTTCTTGTGCAGGAATTTCAGGTGATGATTCCTGAAGTAGATCGATTGCCGTTAGGAAGAGAGAAAAATTGGGTAACAACGAAAATAGGGTCGTCCACTTATGATATAGTGATCTGAAAAGAGACAGTGATATCAATACACTGAACCGGATTCCATTATCTGATGCAGAGCACTGCAAATAGCCATCTCATATCAGTTTGTAAACTGAATTAGTTCAATCGTTAGTATGTTTGTATATGACTAATAAAAAGGTGACAGGTGTCCAAGCTAAGTAGTTAGTTAGTTAGCTAGCTTCGTATTAAGACTTGGACCAAATATATACGGCCTGTACATGTACTTTTGCAGTCAGATAATGAAATTGATCTACTTCTTCCCCAATACTCATATTCTCTCTTCTCTCTCAACTAGCAACTATCAGACCTACAATTCTCGTCATTTTCTTCTACGTTGCTTATGAAATGACCTGGATTGTATCAGTGGTATCAGAGCCCTTTATCTGATCCGATTACTCCTTCAATCTGCAAACGGATTTGACAAGAAATTCTCAGAAGAATACCTAATTTTGTTGAGCGGAAAATGGTGATGACACGGAATTCTAATTCTGATATGGATGAAGTTCTAAAAAACCTGCAAATAGAATTTGATCAGAAGCTGGAAAGTCAGAATAAACTCATGATGGATATGATGAGCAAAATTATGAAGAAAGTTGTTGGGCTTCAGAAAAGTAAGAAGGTTGTGGATGATGAAGAATCTGGAGAGGATCACATAGTAGATGATGATGAAGAAACGTCATTAGAAGAAGAAGAAGGAGAAGGCGTTAATGGCAAAACTTCTCAAGCTGGAAATCATACTTTCTGGTTCAGTCCTAAGGTTGAATTCCCTACATTTGAAGGACAAAATGCAAAGCTATGGCTTCAAAAGTGTGACAGGTACTTTAAGCTTTGTAATATTCCAGACAATCAAAGGGTCAATTTAGCCTCTTTATATCTAGAAGGGAGGGCTGCAAGTTGGTTTGGAAATTATGTATCATCCAAGAAGAAACTGAAGTGGAAACAATTCACATGTGATTTGATTGCTAGGTTCAATGATAATGTGAACAATAAGATAGTTGAAAGGTTTAATAATCTGAAGCAAACGGGATCATTAGAAACTTTCATTGATGAGTTTGAATCCCTTAAGACAGCTATGTTACAGAGAAACCCTAAATTGCCATCAAACTACTTTCTAGATTGTTTCTTGGCTGCTCTTAAACCAACACTCAAGTCATTTGTAATGGCTTTTAGTCCACAGACTATGGCAGAAGCCATAACATTTGCAAGATTGCAGGATGACACAGTAGATGCTATAACTACACAAGTTAAAATTGGGAGTTCACAGAAAATGGTGTTGTTCAAGCCTATTCTACCTACACCAGTGCAGAATACTAAGTTTCCTAGCAACTTAACCAAAACTGCTATTGTACCTGCCCCTAGAAAGTTTGTATCTGCTGCTGATAGAGCTGAGAAGAGAGCTAGGGGTCTATGTTACTACTGTGATCAACCCTACACTAAAGAGCATGTGTGTGACCACAAAGGTACCCAACTGTTCTTGGTAGAGATTAAGGGGGGTACAGGAGAAGAAGATGAAGAGAGTAATTGTGAGGAGGGTCAATTACTAGAAAGCTTCAGTGAAGTTAGCATTCAGAAAGAGGAACCATTGATATCTTTCCATGCTATAAATGGTTATTTGGATTACAGGACTATGAAGCTCAATGGCTATGTGGATAGAAGGAAGCTGTTAATACTAATAGATTCAGGAAGTACTCACAACTTCCTAAGTCTATGTATGGCCAGAAAATTGGGCTGTAAGCTGGATAAAATAGATACTATGTCAGTGGCTGTGGCTGATGGATCACAGACAGAATGTAACTATATTTGTAGAGGATTTACTTGGAAGATGCAAAATACTTACTTTCAGGGAGATATATTGGTGCTACCTTTGGGGGGATATGATATGGTGTTAGGGGTACAATGGCTGAGCACTCTTGGAGAAATCAATTGGGATTTTCAGGAATTATGTATGAAGTTTAGAGATAAAGGCTGCCAAGTAGTGCTAAGAGGACAAAAGAAAGGGGAACTTAGCATTATGCAGGGAACAAAGAAGCAGATTGGCCAAATAAACCAGTTGTATTTGATCCAATGTCAAGAACAGGCAATGATAGGAGAGGATAGGCAGATGGAGAAACATTTTGGGGTGAATGTGGTGAAGACTTCAGAAATGGAAGCCATACCAGAAGACTTGGAGATGTTGATTAATCAATATGAGGATATTTTCAAAGAACCCTAGGGACTACCACCTAGCAGGGGTATTTTTGATCATAGGATCCCTATAAAAGAGGGTTCACAACCAGTAAATGTGAGGCCTTATAGATATCCTTTGAAACAAAAGGATATAATTGAAGAAAAGGTTAAAGAATTGCTGAACAAAGATGCCATTCAACCCAGTGCATCACCATATGCTTCTCCTGTGGTTTTGGTGGGAAGGAAAGATGGGGACTGGAGGATGTGTACTGATTATAGGGCTTTGAATAATCAAACCATCAAAGACAAATTTCCCATACCAGTGGTGGATGAACTCATTGATGAATTAGCAGGAGCACAAATATTTTCAAAAATTGACTTAAGAGCTGGATACCATCAATTGAGAGTACATAAAGATGATGTGTTTAAGACAGCTTTTAAGACTCATTGTGGACATTTTGAATTCCTGGTCATGCCTTTTGGGCTGACCAATGCACCAGCTACATTCCAAGCTTTCATGAATTATATCTTCAAGGATTTTTTGAGAAAATTTGTATTAATATTCTTTGATGACATCCTAATCTACAGTCCTGATATGGAAAGGCATAAGAGACATTTGGAGCAGGTTTTTGAAGTACTAAGACAACACCAGTTATATGCAAAGATGAGTAAGTGTGCCTTTGGAATCAGAAAACTGGAATACCTTGGGCATTATATATCAGGGCAGGGAGTGGAAATAGATCCCAGAAAAATTGAATCTATAAGAAATTGGCCTATTTCAATCTCTGTGAAGCAGCTCAGGAGTTTTCTTGGATTGTCTGGGTACTATAGAAAGTTCATCAAGAGTTATGCTTTGATTACTAAACCCCTAACTGATCTGCTTAAAAAGGGTTCTTTTCAATGGACCAGGATAGCTACCGAAGCATTTGAGGAGCTTAAAAAAGCCCTGACTGGTGCTCCAGTTTTGGCATTACCTAATTTTGAAAAACAGTTTATAGTTGAGACTGATGCTTCCAATAATGGCATAGGAGTTGTGTTAATGCAGGAGGGGCATCGATTGGCTTTCATTAGCAGGTCTTTGGGAACTAGATGGCAGAAGTTGTCAGTATATGAGAAAGAACTTCTAGCTTTGGTGTTTGCAGTACAAAAATGGGAGCAGTATTTGTTTGGTCAGACATTTATCATCAAAACTAACCAAAAGAGTTTGAAATGGTTGCTTGAACAAAAGATTTCTACCCCATTCCAACAGTTTTGGCTATCCAAATTGATGGGTTTTAGGTATGAAATCCAATACAAAAGTGGGGTGGAAAATAAGGTGGCTGATGCTCTTTCTAGAGTGACAGGAGCTGAATTGTTATGCTTGGCATTATCAACTATCAGTTCGGATCTGTTGGACTTGATTAAAACTAGCTATGAAGCAGATGAAGGGATACAAGAATTGATGGTCAAAAAGAAAGCTAACCCTAATTTGGAAGTGAATGATTATAAAATGATGGATGGGGTGATCAGAAGGAAAGGGAAAATTATGGTAGGCAAGGATGATATGGTCAAAGAGAAAATCTTGCAATGGGCACACAGTTCATCCATGGGGGGTCATTCAGGCAGGGATGTTACTATCCAAAAGATTCGCCAGTTATTCTTTTGGAAAGGAATTAATAAATATGTGCAAGCTTTCATAAGGTCCTGCTTAGTATGTCAGTCATGTAAGTATGATAACGCAGCATATCCTGGCAAACTGCAGCCTCTTCCTATTCCTCAAGATGTATGGATGGACATTTCAATGGACTTTATTGAGGGATTGCCCAAGTCTTGTGGGAAGGATGTTATTTTTGTAGTGGTGGATAGAATGAGCAAATATGCTCACTTTATGACCCTCAAACATCCATTTTCAGCAATGGAAGTAGCACAAATCTACCTTGACAATATGTTTAAGTTGCATGGGTGGCCTAGAACTATTGTTAGTGACAGAGGCTCCATCTTTCTTAGCACATTCTGGACTGCTCTATTTAGTATACAAGGAGTAGATTTGTTGTTGTCTACCTCTTTTCATCCACAAACCGATGGCCAAACAGAAGTGGTAAATATATGCCTTGAGAATTATCTGCGATGCATGTGCAGTGAGAAGCCAAGTGAATGGTGTAAGTGGATACCCCTAGCTGAGTGGTGGTATAACACATCATTCCATTCTTCTATTCAAATGACCCCTTATTAAGCTGTATACAATCAGCCACCAGCTTTACATTTGCCATACCTGGCTGGAGAAACTAATGTAGAGGCAGTTGACAGGTCATTGCAACAAAGAGAGGAGATGATTAAAGTGCTTAAATCTCATTTGGTGAAAGCACAAAATAGGATGAAAACTCAAGCTGATAAGCACAGGTGTGAAAGAAAGTTTGAGTTGGGAGACTGGGTTTGGTTAAAACTGCAATCCTATAGACAACACTCAGTAGAACAAAGGTCAAATGACAAGTTATCTCCAAAGTTTTATGGTCCTTTCTAGGTTAGTAAAGTGGTTGGAAAAGTGGCATATCAATTAATACTACCAGCTGAGGCTAGGATCCATAATACTTTCCATGTATCTCAATTGAAAGAGTTCAGGGGTCAATTGCCAGCCAAACCTCATATTCCAGAATGGTTACATGGATTATCTGAGAAGACTGTGGTGAAACCTATAGCTATTCTGGATAGGCAGCTAGTGAAGCATGGTGCAACAGCTAGAATCAAGTTTCTGATTCAGTGGGAAGGCCAAAGGAAAGAAGATGCAACTTGGGAATGGTCTGATTCTATCAAGGCTCAATATCCTGACTCTTACTATAATATGACTTGAGGACAAGTCAATGCTGAAGGAGGGAGTATTGATGCAGAGCACTGCAGATAGCGAGCTCATATCAGTTTGTAAACTGAATTAGTTCAATCGTTAGTATGTTTGTATATGACTAATAAAAAGGTGACAAGTGTCCAAGTAGTTAGTTAGTTAGCTAGCTTCGTATTAAGACTTGGACCAAATATATACGACCTGTACATGTACTTTTGCAATCAGATAATGAAATTGATCTACTTCTTCCCCAATACTCATATTCTCTCTTCTCTCTCAACTAGCAACTATCAGACCTACAATTCTCATCATTTTCTTCTACGTTGCTTATGAAATGACCTGGATTGTATCATTATCCTCCCCTTCGAACTAGGATTAGCTTGTCCTGGAGGTTGAAACGAGATGACATTGGAGGGGGCTTCTCAGCAATTTAGAGAAGTGAGGAGATGACTCGGCTAAATTTAAAAAATAAAATCTTACATGGAATAAATTGCCAATATAATTAAGCCACGTGGAGGGATGCACCCAAACATTCCGTAGAATGAATGCACCATAAAATTTTCCAAATGGGAATATGTCAGGGTTGGGGTACAAATTAGGGTACCAATTGGGGTACCTATAACAGGGTTGTTTTTCAAAGAAAAATGCTAAAGGTACCCCAAATTGGTACCCCAATTTGTACCTCCACCCTATTTTTGTGGCTCACAAAAGCACCTCATTAAAGTGGGGCAATTCATTTATTGAGGTGAGCTTTTGTGAGCCACAAAAATAGGTTGGGGTACAAATTAGGGTACCAATTGGGGTACCTATAGCAGGGTTGTTTTTCAAGAAAAATGTTAAAGGTACCCCAATTGGTACCCGAATTTGTACCTCCACCCTATTTTTGTGGCTCACAAAAGCACCCCATTAAAGTGAGACAATTCATTTATTGAGGTGAGCTTTTGTGAGCCACAAAAATAGGTTGAGATACAAATTAGGGTACCAATTGGGGTACATATAGCAGTGTTGTTTTTCAAAGAAAAAAGCTAAAGGTACCCCAATTGGTACCCCAATTTGTACCTCCACCCTATTTTTGTGGCTCACAAAAACACCTCATTAAAGTAGGACAATTCATTTATTGAGGTGGGCTTTTGTGAGCCACAAAAATAGGTTGGGGTACAAATTAGGGTACCAATTGGGATACCTATAGCAGGGTTGTTTTTCAAAGAAAAATGCTAAAAGTACCCCAATTTGTACCTCCGCCCTATTTTTGTTTCTCACAAAAGCACCTCATTAAAGTGTGACAATTCATTTATTGAGGTGGGCTTTTGTGAACCACAAAAACAGGTTGGGGTACAAATTAGGGTACCAATTGGGGTACCTATAGCAGGATTGTTTTTCAAAGAAAAATGGTAAAGGTACCCCAATTTGTATCTCCACCCTATTTTTGTGGCTCACAAAAGCACCTCATTAAAGTATGACAATTCATTTATTGATGTGAGCTTTTGTGAACCACAAAAATAGGTTGAGATACAAATTAGGATACCAATGGAGTACCTATAGCAGGGTTGTTTTTCAAAGAAAAATGCTAAAGGTACCCCAATTTGTATCTCCACCCTATTTTTGCGGCTCACAAAAGCACCTGTTAGAATTAGAGTGGGGCAATTTATTGATCGTCTACCAGCCGACATTACTTTCTCATCGCCGGTCTATGCTTTGTTAAGTTAGGGACTTGGGGTTTTACAGTTTTACATTCCCGTTCTCCCCTCTTGAGGATGGCCGGAATGAAACTGACGCCAGAAGAATCCGATGTCACGCAGGTCAGGCTGACAGCAGCGGCCGACCTAATTTCCGATGACGACCGATCCGTGGCCGCGGACTCTTGGTCTATAAAGAGTGAATATGGGAGCACCCTCGACGACGAGCAGCGTCACGCTGATGCCGCTGAAGCCCTTTCCGCGGCCAGTTACAGAGCCGCGTCTGATTACAGGTTTCGCGCCTCGCTCTGAATGACGATATTTCTGCTGTATATTCCGTGAAATGAGGAACATAGGCTTTTATGTTCTCTAAAATAATTAAAGTTTCATTTCGAGTACACAGAAAATTTCAAAATCTGGAATAAATCGCGTTGTTGTAAACTATTCAAACCATTTCATGCTTCTAGTTTGCTTGCTATTATCTTTTTTGAACGATAAAATCATCATTCTTCATACGAATTTAAGAGAAAGAAGGTATCATAGCGTAGATTGGGCTTAGGTGTTATTGGAATATGTAATGGATATAAAGGCCCGTGCTTCTGATCTCCACTAGATGGGGATTTTTGGACTGAGATGTGTGAGCATAATGCTTTTGGATCTTTAATTTTAGTAGTTTAGAGATGTATTTTCCATTGGTAAATTGTGATTTATGAGTTACCTAATTGGAAATGGATGAATATGATTTTGCATGAACTGTTGTCTTTGATGCACTTTAACGTGCATTGGTTAGCTGGATGATATGTATACATTTTGTCTTTGCAGTTCTGATAAAGAAGATCAAGATGCCGATGGCGTTTCCTCAATGCTTGGTTTCCAGACTCATTGGGATGCCACCTATGCTGATGAATTGGCAAATTTTAGAGAACATGGTCATACGGGTGAAATTTGGTAAGTACTTGTAAAGCTAGAGTCAGTATATCGTGAAACTTCAACGCATCGTTTCAAATTGCACAATGCAATAGCGCAATGAGGCGCGCCTCAGTATATTCTACAGCAAGGCGCATAATTGCATTGCTAAATGCGGTACTGTAGAAAAGGTCACAATATGGCGCAGAGGCGTACGCCTTCTGCGATGCGCAACAAGGCGTTGTGAGGCGATCGCCTTAATGTGGTGTTTAAGTGGACATGTGGGCTGATTGAGCCCACATTTTATTTTATTTTTAAGTTAGCAAAAACAAGCGTGTACGCTATTCCCCTTGAATTGGTTGCCGACCTGCTTTGGTGTTTCACCCTTCGTCAATCGTTAACAGAAGATAGGTTGTTGCTTCTTTATTGCGCATCACAGATTCACAGGTGTGCAGAAAACCTGCTTTCCTACTTCTTCATCTGATAAAGTTTTAGTAATAGGCGGAAGTAGTAATGGGCGGAAGTTTCAAGTTTCATCTGCTTCTCATTCAACTTCAATGTTGTAGTTAGTAATATATGATTGTCATTTTGTCATACTACGTATATTAGTGTCTTGTTTTTAATCTTAATTTTAGTTTATTGATTATTTTCTATCGTTTTGATATAGAAAGTTAATTCTACATACTTGTATTATCTTAATTTTAATATTACTATTCTGTTAATATTATCTAAATTTTCTGTTAATGTGAAATTTGTTAATATTATCTTAATTATCTTTTAAGTCATCAATATGACAATCTTACAATTATAGAATGGTTTGAATTTTGAGCGTATTACTTTCCTATGATTATGTCCTTATTATATTATTTTTAATTGTCCATATAAACACACACACACACAATTTATGCCTCAGGCCTACTCATTGCGCAATCAGGCTTACGCAATATGCAATAACAAAAAAATGCCACTATTACGCAATAAGCAATTTCAAACCTTGCATCAATGACACATCTTCGTAAGTTCCTGCTCAATTGGTAGTAGGTTTCAGTGGGTTAGAAGTTTTCGTTTGTAAGATTTAGTAGTTAGCACTTTAGCACACACTATTTGTTGTACATGCTAGTTGGTTCAAGTTAGGAGCATAATCCTTGTGGATGTCTTTACTAATGTTATAATTATTGTTGTTTCTGCTGCTCTTATTTATATGTTGTTTGACCATCTTTGTAGGTTTGGTGCTGATGTAATGGAAACTGTTGGTTCCTGGACCAAAAGCTTGTGCATTGATATCACCCTAGGTCACTTTCCAAATCAGATAGGCAATAGCAGTTCAGGTCCTGCTGGGCATTACGAAAAAGATTTGTCGAAATGGAGTGTGCTGGATATTGGGACTGGAAATGGCTTGCTTCTTCAAGAGCTTGCTAAACAGGGGTAAGTTTTAGCTTCTGTCACTAGAGGTTTTATTATGTAATGGATATTGTACTCCTATACATACATGCCCTCGAGGGTCACAAAATGCTTCAGTCTTCACAGAGGATATTGGGAAGTGTCATTTTCTATCATATAAAAAATGTAAATATACTGCTCGTTAGAGGTCAGCAGATCACTAATTATATGGTTGCATTGGATTAGGTTCTCTGATCTCACTGGAACTGATTATAGTGAAGGAGCAATTGACCTTGCTCGTAATCTTGCTGATCGTGATGGTTTTTCTGAGATCAAATTCTTGGTAATTTTTACCCATTTTTAACTCTATGCACTTGAAACTTTTCCATCCGTGAAGTCTTACGTCATTCATGCTTATCACCAAGTACCATTCCTCAATTAAATGGCCTTTTAATTTATATTACAATGCCATGTGGCATGTAAAATGGCTTCTTATTTGAAACAATCTAATGAGAAACCCTTTGTCTGATAGAAACTGAACCTTGAAATAATTGTATCACTACTCTCTTAATTAGTATGGCAGCATCCAGTGATGTAATACAAGTGCCTAATGACTATATTTGTTATCTCTTGAGATAATCTGCTATTTTCCATTTTGCTAACTGAATAAGCAGTTGACATTGCTTTTTGCCCGGTTTCCAGGTTGATGATGTTCTTGAAACAAAGTTAGATAGGAAGTTTCATCTTGTTATGGATAAAGGTACTTTAGATGCCATTGGATTGCATCCTGACGGGCCTATCAAAAGGTGATACAGCCATATAAGATGTGTGCATATTTGTTTTTCTTACATGTTAACTTTTGTTTCACTTTGAAAACTGTAGTGCATCTTATCATTTTCTTTTTCAGGATCATGTACTGGGAATCAGTCTTAAAACTTGTAGCTCCTGGTGGGTTATTGGTGAGCTCTTTATCTTTTCCTAAGCCGCGACGATAATCCTTCTCCATAACAGCTTTAAATTCTTCTACTGTTCACTTGCATAGGTGCATAAAATCTCACAAAGGAGAATTATTTACCAGAATATGTTTCTTTGATTAATGTGTGTGTGTGTTAGGGGGCGGATCAGGTACAGACTATGCTTATTGTGCAAACGTTTGTACGCTGCATCTTTACGTTATTTGTATTGCATATTGAGGTTCAAGGTGTTCCCCATATTATTTAGCCATAAAATAGAAGTTGCATATTAAAGATCAATGAGTTGCATCCTAAAAAAGTTGGCTTTTATTACAAAAATGTCACTGTGCCTTTATAGCCTTTAGATCAACTCATCTTATCGGAAGGCCAAGATGAGTTTGTAGTTTGTAAATTAAGGAGGGTTTGTATTTGATCTCTATTCTGTGTGTGTGTGTATTTCACTGTTTGCTGGTGTAATTATTGCAGGTAATCACATCATGTAACAGTACGAAAGACGAATTGGTAGAAGAGGTGTCTGCATTGAATCAAAGAAGAAACCCTGTCAGTCAAGAATCGGAGGAGAATCAAGAGCAGCAGGAAACCCCCAGAGATACCCCTCCATTCCGTTACCTTGATCATGTTCGATCTTATCCGACATTCATGTTCGGAGGATCCGTAGGATCTCGTGTTGCCACAGTTGCATTCCTAAAAGAACTTTCATCTATTTGAGTGAATCTGACTTGCAATGCTATTAATTTCTATGTATTCTACATTGATAGTCGGCGTTTTATGATACTGTTCAGACTGCCAAATGCTACCGCTTTATATAAACTGAAAATAGTAGTAGCATCACTGTTTAATTGCACCACATGGTCCTAGTTATATCTTGCTCAGTTGGATTTATTCCCTGTGGCATAGAATAGTTAGATCCCCCGTCCCTGGGTGGTAGATTGCACTGAGGACATTGGGTCGTGTACAGGCAAGCTTTAGGTGTTTTCACCCTCGTGTGGCAGTAGCGACTTTTTGTGCTCGTTTCAAATTGGTCTTGCTTCTGAACTTCCTCAAGGGATCTTTGACTGTAGCTTTGGTTCAACACCCACCAATTAATCCTTAAGAACAGGGGTAGAAAGGCCTGCTTATGGTCGCTGGACCGGTCGGTCCTTCCATTTGGATTCAAACATCTCATGCTGCCTGACACTTGGCTGGCCTGACATTGGCTACACCCTCCATTCCATCTCTAATCTTCGAGTAAACCTATCAATAGTGAAGGATGTGGAATTAATTTCATCATCATCCCATCTTCCCGTTTTGTGCTAATTTCTTGCAAAGTCCAAGTTTTTCTCTGAAAATATTGCCGGTCGCATGTATGCTCTAAATAAATTCAAGCCTTGCTTGCGTATTAGGGATGGGTGCTGCTAGTGGCGAAGACGGTGCTCTTCAGTCTTCACCAAAGTTGAAGTCAGCATTTCCGGTGAGTAAAGATAGGATGTTGGGGACACAATCTAGCTTTTTTCTTTCACTAAGAAGGAGACTAGCTACCCTGACCTGATGGTCGGTTGGTTGGTTTTGAGTCCGTCAAATCCATCACTGCTCCGCCTTACTTATCAGGAAATAAAACCGTATTCGTGCATCTCATTCATTCTATCTCTTCAATGATAGAATGGGTTTGAGAGCCGTGTGATGGGTGACTATCCAGCACGGTTCGGAGAGCACTTTGAGTCTGCGCTGGTGAATGGAAGCCTCCCCTATCAAGCAAGAAGGAAGCGGCTCTTCCCACGGCGGAGTCACCATTGACTCTATTTATTATTATGGTAAATCAGTGTATCAAGATGTCAATCTGAGATCTTATTTCGGTTCGATACGTCCACCTACGAGACTCACCTTTGGCTTTCGTCTCGGTCAACAAACTGTATTTTTTATCTGATTTTAATTTCATTTTTATTTATTTTCAATTAATTTAAGTTCTTATCTAGGTTATGGTCAATAAATATATATAGTCATGTTCCATGTGGCATTATTTTCCATATTCTCATAGGATGAAGTTTTGTACAGTGAAGATCTAAAAATGTGTTATTACTTTAAGGAGATGTGTTTACTAATTCAAGCTGGTAGTTTTTTTTTGTTAATGGTTAGTGGTTAACTCAAATTTTGGTTAATCGATATTTGGTTAACCAATGATATGATAATTGCATTGAATATATAGTAATCTCTTAGGTATCTAGCTAATTCACAATGAATTTCAAGAAACAAATGAAGAACAGAAATTTACATAAGAACTGGAAGTGTCGTATAACAGAAAGTATTGAGAGAGAAGTACTAAGGCAATTTTAAGAGTGCCAACTCTTCAAGTCCCAAGCCCAAATGATAATTTCAATCTCCCTTCTATTCTACCCTCAACCTCTATTTATACTAATTCTAATACTCTTCTTATTTCTTATTATTTTATGTGAGTCCCTAACATTTAGGGGTGGACTCGGGCCGGGCGGCCCGCCCCGGTACCGGCCCGGTCACTGTTTGAACCGGCCCGAACCGCCGGCCCGGCCAGGGACCGGTCCGGGTAGGCCCGACCCGCTGGGGTTCCGGGCCGGGCTCGGGCCCCTCAAAAGGTGAACCGGCCCGCCCGGTCCGGGCCCGGTCCGGCGGTCCGGGCCAATTTATTTATTTTTTTCTGTTTTTTTTTTGAATTTTTTTTTAAGTTTTTGGGTTGGGCTGGGTATTTTGGACCATTTGAGGTGGTTGGGGGTGAGGGGGGAGGGTTGGGGGTTAATTAGGAAAAGCCAAAAAAAAAAATTAAATTGAACCGAGGCCCAGCCCAGCCCGGACTCGGGGGTTACCCGAGCCGGTTCCGGGCCTCCCTTTCATGAACCGAGGCCCGGCCGGGCCCAGGCCCGAACCGGGCCGAGTCCACCCATACTAACATTACTCTTCCCCTTTGACAACCACCCTGTCCTCAAGTTGGGTGATAGGAGACGGCTCTGATGAACATCTTCTTCTTCTTTCTCTTTGCGTCTCTTCCTTCCTAGCATCTTCCTGGTTGTTTATCAATTCTCATACATTTTCCCTCCTCATTTTCATTGCTGGGACCATCACACATTGATCTGTTTCTTTTCAGATCAACCTCTTCCCCGAGCTTGGTAAGTGCCATTGAAACTCTTGAGATGCATTGATCACTTAGTGTGCATTCTCATCATGCCACTCTCCTGAGTTATTAGATGTATCATTTCCTTTACGAGAACAGGACCAAGAGCTCCGGCCAGAAGACAAAGCATTTGGATTCGGACTAAAGACAGCATGAGTAAAAAAAATCATCAAATCGTCATTAGAATGTGTAGTTGACACCGGTAGGTCCTGGTAGATGATCAATGAATAACAATTCGTGTTCTAAACACCAAATTCCAACACCCTGATACTTGAGTGAACTTCAAGAACAGCCTCTCTCCCAATAGTCAACATATTTAAAGAACCAAAATCATTCAATCCTTGTTGCTGATGCTAACAACTCATATGTAAAAGGAATCCAACTGCTGGACTTGTAGCCATAGAATAGGAATTTGCATAATGAGGATCATTCAGCAAGAAAAACAGCATTTTAATATGTCTTACTTTCTTGTGTGTGATGACCAAGAATGGGAGATAGAGTTTCAAGCCTATACCTGTTTCTGGAGTAGGTATACAAAGTGTTGGCACTCTCTTTACATTTTCACCAATTATATATTAAGGCCTCTTGGACGCAGGATTGATTCCATTAATCATGAAAAGTATAACCAATAAATCGTACTCACCACTCCTTTTGGATACAAGTAATTTGAAACAATCAATCTTATTCAGCCCTTATTGTTTGGTAAACAATGATCTGGTTTGAGTATCTTCCATATTCTGAAGAGGACGAGCTTTTGTGATGCGCCTAGGTCAAATGAGTGAGGAAAGCTGGATGACAAACTGCGAACTGGGCTCTTGTGCTTGCTGACGGATTGCCAACTCAAACAAACCGACGGTTTCACACTCTCACTGTGGCGCCTTCATTTTCTTCCTTCTGCCATCTCTTTCCTCGCGGTAGTTCCTCATCTCTTTCCTGCGCAGTTTATATATATAATGCCCAGTTTTAGCAGGAACTTTTTTTTGACTGTCTTCCCAATTGAATTTTTAGCTGAAATATTGTATGCATAAACTAGACTTGATGAGGAACATGTTAAAAAAATTTCATCAAAAAATTCCACCGGGATAGTCTCCAAATGGTCTCGGCCTGACGGCGGTTCCTGTCAGGCCGGCCTGATACGATCTGTCCTCTCTCTCTCTCTCTCTATATATATATATATCACATATATATATATATATATTTAACCCGGAAAGGCCACTTAAAGTGGGGAAAGTGCTGGGGAACACTTTCCATATTTATTAAAACATTAGAGTACAAAACCAGAGTTCAAAATGAAAAGTACAAGACAAAATGCAAAACACAAAATAAAAACAATAAAAAGTTGTAGGCACACCGGCGTTCGTTGAGAGCGTCAAATTGTATTTGTTGTGAAACTTGATAGCCCTTTGCAAATAAGGAGGGTACGACTTGGCTTCTGTGTGTAATGATTTGTAACGTTTGAGACTTGTTACTAGTTTGCAAATATGTACCATTAGATTTGCTTTATGTGAAATTCAATGTGCATTAGATGAAGCTGTAATGTGTATTAGGTGAAATTGAAATATGCAGCACAAAGGTACAATGTAGTTGCATTATGTGAAGCTAAATTGTGCATTAGTTGAATTTGAAATGTGCACTAAATGAAAATAAAATGTGCAGAATAAAAGGTGCAACGTGATTTAATTTTTGTACCTTTTAGTCTGCACATTTCAGTTTCACCTAATGCACATGTGAGTTTAAATTTTTATTCTGCACATTTCAATATCATCTAATGCACATTTCGGTTTCACCAAATGCACAATTCAGTTCCACATAATTCAATCCAACAGTCCAGATTCGTTCTCATTTCTCTCCTAAGCTCCGTTCATACCAGAACCGCTCCATATATATATATATATATAGAGAGAGAGAGAGAGAGAGAGAGAGTAATCTTCCGATCAGGAAATTCCTGACCGGAGCGCCGTCCGGCCTCCTCTGTTTGGGGGCCTTCCCGGTGGTATTTTTTGCTCAAATTGTTTTCGTATGTTCCTCATCAAGTCTAGTTCATCCATATCAAATTTTAGCCAAAACTTCAATCGGGAAGGTCATCAAATGATTTTTGCAAGTTAACTGGTCCGGAATATACACGTTAAGGGGTTATTGTGCATCAGATCGACACTTTGGACGGCTGAGATTAATTCTCATTTTACAGGTTAAGCTGTCTTCTCATTTGAACTCATCCATATATATATATATATATATATATATATATATATATATATATATATATATATATATATATATATATATATCTTACTATCTTATAAAATGCGTAAGGAAGTTAACATGGGCCTGTTTCCGTTTGTACAGTGCCAACTTTCGGCCTCCGTTTGTAGCTTCCGTTTAAAATGACCTGGCCTCCTTAGCGCCTCTCATTACTACACGCTCCTGGTATACACCGACCTACCTTCCCTCACTCTTCCATCTCATAATCTAGGGTTCCCAAAATTTCTTCCGTTGAAGCCGCCAGAGTCCGCCGACTTATAGTATCACGTCTCCTCGGTAATAATCTCCTCTAATGATGTTCTTAGCTAAGATTTCTTTTCATGTTTTGCTTCTGTTCTTTCTATTTTGTTTATTTTGAGCCTGAGTTTTTATTTGCTTTGATGCAGTCCTCCTCCCATCATCTATCGATTTCAAGAGTCTGCTCGTCGCCACCAAGCCCGATAGCGGACAACGTAACTCTTTGGA